ATAAATAGAACAACTTCAATTTTTTTAAGATTGAAATTCGTTTGTAAAATAAGCACAAGTCATCACTGAAATTCGTTTGTAAAATAAGCACAAGTCATCATTGAAATTCGTTTGTAAAATAAGCACAAGTCATCACTGAAATTCGTTGTGAAATAAGCACAAGTCATCACTGAAATTGGTTTGTAAAATAAGCACAAGTCATCACTGAAATTCGTTTGTAAAATAAGCACAAGTCATCACTGAAATTCGTTTGTAAAATAAGCACAAGTCATCACTGAAATTCGTTTGTAAAATAAGCACAAGTCATCACTGAAATTCGTTTGTAAAATAAGCACAAGTCATCACTTGAAATTCGTTTGTAAAATAAGCACAAGTCATCACTGAAATTCGTTTGTAAAATAAGCACAAGTCATCATTGAAATTCGTTTGTAAAATAAGCACAAGTCATCATTGAAATTCGTTTGTAAAATAAGCACAAGTCATCATTGAAATTCGTTTGTAAAATAAGCACAAGTCTTCAAACTGAATTACCACTCTTCGGTTTAAATATATATGTATACAATTCTGGAAGCTGCTATATAGAAAATAGCACTTCACCTTATATACCTTGACAAGGGGGGCAAGACATCGTCAAGTAGCTTATTTTTATCTCCCCCTCCTCCATATCTTCTTCTATGTCTTGTAATAAGAGGTTCAGTGTTTCTGCTTCTTTTCGCTTGGTTTTTGTTTAAGCACAAAACTAGACGATGGGCTATCTTTTCTCCGCCCACTTCGGGTATCGAAACACAATTTTTAGCGGTAGACTATGCTAAAGATAATAGACTATGTTAAAGAAAATTTCCAGACTGTTTTTTTTTTTTATACAAATCTTTTAATTTCTGAATATTACAAACATAGCTTAACAAACACATTAGAACGACTTTCTCACAACAGGTGTCACCACATACACCCAAACAGAAGTGTTCGCAGTCATTATTGTAATCTGTTTTCACAAGTGGTTGATAAACACACATCTTTCAACAACAATGTAGAAAACAGTTCCCTAAAATTTAGAATATCAAAATATAGTAGCATACTGGCTTTAAAAAAAAAAAACGTTATACATAACATGGTAAAAAAATATGTTAATTACAAAACCAATAAAACAGATTATTAGTGGTAAATAAAACAAATATTTCACGAAAATAAAATGCTGGCAATTATTCAATATTGTAACGTAGTATATACGAGCATACAAAATAATAATAAAGAAGTTTCTAGAACTTAAATGTTTTTAAGTGGTTAAACTTTGGAAATAATATTTAAAATACACGTGCTCAGTCACCTTACAACATTACACTTGTCATAACGTGAAATAAATTAACAAGTTTCGGTTACGTTTAAAACATGCGAGTATTTATATCGAATCGCAATACCTCCACCACCATAGCTAGCTACGAGGCCAACCAGGTCCAGACCGCGGTTAAAATTTGAAATTAAATGTATTTTTGTTTGTTTTGAATTTTGCGCAAAGGGAAGACAGCTAGTCAACACCACCCACCGCCAACTCTTTTACCAACTAATAGTGGGATTGACCGTTACATTATGACGCCCCCAAGGCTAAAAGGGGCGAGCATGTTTGGTGGGACGGGAGTCCAGCCCGCGACCCTCATATTGCGAGTATAGCGCCCCCTAGCCGATTAAATGTAATGTACTAGTTAATTTGACACTCGTATGGAATAGGTATATAATATGTAAGGCTGCCCCAATGTGCTTGTCACGCTAATGATAATTTTTCACGTAGAACATAGTAGTAAAAATAAATTAAAATGGACAGTCCACGCGTAGCTAAAAAACCAGAAATTTATTGGAATGTTTACCGCAAATAAGCAATGTTGTTCTATCAATGCGTTTCTTAAACAGGAAAATAAAGACTCAACTCCCGTCGTTTACAGAAGCGTAAAACATAGTAGTAATCAAACCCTGTTTCTATTTGAAATTCATTTCTAAATTTAAAAAAATAGATTTTAATATAAAAAGCTTCTTTGAATGTGTTTTTTTTTAAAAAAAGGCCTTTTCTAAAAATACTTTCTTTAAAATTTACTGGACTATACACCTATAACTGCTGACCTGAACGTTTCGAAATAATCGATCTGAGACAGTGTCGTTCTGTCAACAACAACAACAGAGAATAATAAATATTTTTTTTTTGTTTTTTTGTTTACGTACTTGGCTAAAATGTCTACATCCTGTCTCCTATCATCCTATACCTACAGAATATATACTTTTGCCTAACTATACCTGGCACCGAGAATGTGTGTTAACGCTCTATACCCATGCCGTATGAAAGATGAGAAGATAGATAGATGCTCTATACCAAGGTCATCTGGATAGGTTTTAAATATTTTAATCAATAAATCAAAAAAACCCTTCTCCCATAAAGTGGCTACACCGTTCTTAGTACACTGCTCCATTTTATCATTTTGTAGGTCTTTTTATTTTGCAATATCTTTGTAGCCATATTTTTGTATTTTAGTGCCTCTTTTTTAACGGTTCATTTACAATTTCGTGAAATAAATAATAAACAAATTCGGATGAAAAAAAAAGGCTTAAAGAAGGAGGAAAATATACAAAAACGTTATTTCTTTTTATCGTAGTGTTGCTTAATTGGATGTAATTAGTTCATTGTCACTGCTGTAACAGTATTCTTTTTACAAACAATATCAACAATAAGACCATAACAATGCCATCGTTTCGTCATTTCAAAATTAGCCCTTAACAACGTGACTGTTTTAACCACTCGACAAACATCTCTTACAAACGTGATTAAATTTATTTCTAACTGAACTCAGTTGTGGTTGTTTTATCTAGTTAAAAGACAGCTCTCAGAAAGGTGGTTGTTTTTATTTTATTTCAGAATAACGTGATTGTTTGACCACTTGAAAAATTCAAACTTTAACATTCCAGCTGTTTCAATTACTCCAATGGTTGCTTTTCGATGTCTCCTACGTTTAAATAGTTTGTTTGTTTTACTTCAATTTCATGCAAAGCTAATCGAGGGCTATCTGCGCTAACCATCCCTAATTTTGAAGTGATAGACTAGATGGAAGGCAGCTATTCAATAACACCCTCCTGTAACTCTTGGACTACTCTTTTATCAACGAATAGTGAGATTAAACGTCACAGTTTAACACCACCACGGTTGAAAGGGCTGGCATGTTCGGTGATGTGGGGGGGGGGGGGCGTGTAAATCAGTCTTTATCGTTCTTCTGTCTTGCATAATATACTCCCCCCTTTTAATTTGATTTCTTTATTTACGATGTTCCTGTGTGCTATAGACTCCGTTTTTAACTTTCCTGTCACATACGCATTGCTTTAGCCAGAGTTATTTGATTACAAACTCTTCGTATTGTCTAACACAACTATAACCGAAAAATAATTCATTTATATATAATCTCCCAAGATTTGATTAGATACGCATTACCACAGCTGCGATACAGCTAATTAATATCGGCTCTGAAGACTTAAAGCAAAGTGTATCTGTCAAAGTTTGTGAGATGAGTTGCTCTTGGTAGTTAAAAAAAAAACAACTGTTTATCATAACTATTTTTGATTATAAAGGAATCAACAGAAGTTGGCTTAACGTGCATTGAAATCAATTTTACTAAAAAACCGACAAACTTCAAAAACAAAACATTATTCCGATATACTTAACAAAAGTGTTTTAACAGTGAAAAATCAATAAGAAAAGAAGTTAAATAATTCGCAAACCAATGAATCGAAAGGAATATTTTATAAATATAATTGAAATTTCTTTGTAAACCCGTATCAAAACTGGATATTTCTAGAACTTGGACAAACAACTCGCGTTCCTAACAACCGTTGGAAAGAAACCATCGTACGTAAATCATAATTTCAAACTATTTGACATACTATTTTTTTTTTTTTTTTGCATTTTATAATACAAGTTTTAAGAACTGGTAGTATTTACATTTACTTTCTCTGTGTTTAAAAATTCGATGTTACCAAAGACGTGTGAGTTTTTACTGCTATGGGCTAATTTTTCACGCCCGATAAACAAGGTTTATCACGGGAAGAGTGAGGCCTAATAGCCGTACTGATAATAAGGGCCAGGATAAGCCGTATAGTTATACGGTTGTCGCTTGTCCGGATACACGGGCATGAGGTATTGCATATTCTTCGCTTGTTCGACCTTCTTCTCCCTACGAAGACAACCAGCAGCACAAAGAAACAAGATGGCGGTCATTAGGCTCATTCCAACACCAATCCACGCCAGGATATAAGACCACCCATAATAGAAGTTCGTATATCCTCTGTGTTTCAAGACCTGCAGAATAACAAAACTCTGACGTGAATTTTGTATTGATTTACTACCTTTACACACGTGAAATTACAACAACAAAAATTTGATTTTGCTATCGTCAGAAAACAAGTATGAATGGTTAGTTCATGCTCTTGAACGAGGCACTAAACTTGTTTATTGCTAACACGTACAAATCATGCCGATACAACATCTATGACTTGTCATGCCAAATTTCTTGTTGAAAGCTTTCAACTGACTCACTGGAAAAACCATAATAAATACGTTATTTACCAACTGGGATGCCGAACTATACAAATGTTAAAGTTAAAATCATAAATAATTTAGTACAATCGTAAACACACTACAAAAAAAAAAAAAGCTAATTAACTGTTAGGCACACAATTTTTTTGGTTTGTTTGTTTGCACTCGATTATGGCAAAGTTACTAATGCTATCTCCGCTGTCCCAAGCTTTGAAAGAAATTGGCTGAAAGCATCCGCCGCCAACTCTTGAGTGTTGCCAACGAATAGTGGGATTGGCAGTCACATTCTTACGCCCCGACAGCTGAGAGAGAACTATATTTGAGGTGGGTTTCAACCACCAGGCCATGCACAACTTCGTATTAATGTGGACAATTATTAATCATTTGTGGTTAAAGAATGCTAGCTAAATGAATCACAACAAAAACGAAGTGTCTGAAGCTTACAATAATCAAAAAGCACTGATTCATCAGCAAGTGACGTAGCTAGTTTATAATTAAAAAGCACTGATTCATCAGCAAGTAATGTAGCTAGTTTTAAATAATTAAAAAGCACTGACTCATTAGAAAGTAATGTAGCTAGTTTTATAATAATCAAAAAGCACTGATTCATCAGCAAGTAATGTAGCTAGTTATATAATAATTAAAAAGCACTGACTCATTAGAAAGTAATGTAGCTAGTTTTATAATAATCAAAAAGCATTGATTCATAGTCGAGTATTTTCGCTCTTAACAATATTTTCGGCTTTAATCAAACTGGTCTTTTTCTGGTTTATCCGTTTTCACATTGATCGGTGTTTCAAATGAAATAGCTTTTTCTGGGATAAACTACACAGTTAAAGATTACTAACAAGTATTCTAATTAAATATTACTTATAAATAAACTCCTACTCTAAATTACTGTGATTCTTTACTTTAAGTTCACATTATACAACTAAGTAAATATATTCTTTAAAAAATATTTGTACATAAAACAACGCCTGAGGTGATCTGATGTTGTCATGGTTACTAGCCTATACGATCACCTAAGCCTAATTATTAATTAGTAACTTTATATTTTTATCATTAACTTCTTTTTTATTATGTTTCTGTAGGAGACCCCAGACGAGTAGATAGCACCCCATCTCCTTTCAAGAAGCCTCAGGTTAGAATCCAGCCACCTCCAGCACTACAGAAATAGTTTTTGTCACTTTTCTAGGATCAGCGTCCGAAATGTAGATATGTAGTAATTAAAATAACTTACTAATTAATAATTAAACTTGGGTGATCGTATAGGCTACAAACCGTGACAGCAATCGATATCCGCTCACCACAGTCTTGACGTATTATTGAACAATGGCCAAATTGTTAGAATTTGATATTCACATCTGATACGTGAACCAACTTACAACGTAACTCACGTGTCGGAAATAATCGAATTGCTAGACATACAGAAAATGCTTACATCGGGCCAACCAAAGTAGGCCATGTCATCCCGCAGTTTTTGATAATCGTAATACTGGACCCCGTGCCACAGTCCCATAGCACCTGCGTCCACCAGAGCTGAAAGAAAACAAAACAGTTTCATCAAACGTCACGTGATGAAATGCAGAAGTATTTGTATTCTCACCAGTGATACAAAATAACGAGATTTTTTTTAAATGGTTGTTCTTGTTCCTTAACCAAGTTTCAACATAAAATGGCCACTTTTTGGCAGAAACTTGGAATTTTACGGTTAGATGTTTTTTTAGTGTTGTTGTTTTTTAAAAATAGAAAAATATAAAGACTTACTGATACCTAATAATAGTGTTACGACAGCGGAGGTCACGTGACTCTAGTAAGACGTCATATTCTCGAAGATTGGTGAATCCTCGGGAGGTTACTAGATGTACGGTATTCTTTTATACAAGACGGCCAAGAAGTGACGCAACAATGTAATGCAATGTGTAATTAAACTGCGGACAGAGTATTGTTGAGTTGAGCACGTGAGATGTTCGTTGTGAATTATAGCGTTTGTTATAGCGCGACTGTGGTAATTAAGTGTATTGCGAAGTTGTATTCAGAAAGAATAAACTAGTTTTATTCAAGAAAGGACTTGTGTCGCTAAAGTTTCGTCGGAACGAATTAACGGAAAATTAACTAACGAACGGAGACGTAACAATACTATAATTAATAAACATAAACAATTTAACTTTCGCGAATACAAAGGAGCTTATTAAGATAGATCTAAAGGAGGAATTTTGATGTGAATTCAAACAATATAATAGCCATACCTTAAAGTTAAAATAAATTACGGCTTTCTTAATGTAAAAAAAATCGAAGTGAAACAGCCGGATGAATGTTAATACACGTTTCATAATTTCATGTTGCAACTGAGGAGGATTGTTGGGAAATACATAACTTTATCTTAACGTTAGTTTGACTGACGTAACTTCAGTTAACGCTACTGATTCAAAGAGACGCTAATTACTATTCGGATACTCACCTGCCAGAAGTTGCAGTAGACCAGTGGCAACAACGTTTCCATGGGAACGCTTCCAGCACCCAGCAACTCCGGTAAAAAATGACAAGAAGATAAAGAAGAAGCCAGTAACATACAATCCAATCACCGATCGTGCCATATCTAAAAATTGAATAATGACAGTCAATCACAGATCGTGCCTTGTCTGAAAACAAAATAATGAATATAATGCACAACCAAGAAGTATTGCAATAAAAAGGAATGACAAATCTCTCCGCTTCGAACCATTTAATTACCATAAGGTCTACAAATACCTTAAGATTATAATAGTCTTAAAACATTGTGAACCTCACCATAAGGTACGTTTCGAGCAACCATTCGTTATCAGGAAGTTAAGCATAACAAAACATTAAGCACCTCACCATAACATGTATAGAGAAACTATTTAGAATGAGGAATTAGGCTTAACAATGTAAACCATATTTCGCGCGATTGTTTATCATCAGGAAGTTAGGCTTAAAAACATTAAGCACCTCACCATAACATGTTTAGAGAAACTATTTAGAATGAGGAAGTAGGCTTAAGAAAAATAACAATATAAACCATATTTCGCACGATTGTTTATCATCAGGAAGTTAGGCTTAAAAACATTAAGCACCTAACCATAACATGTTTAGAGAAACTATTTAGAATGAGGAAGTAGGCTTACCAAAAATAACAATATAAACCATCTTTCGCACGATTGTTTATCATCAGGATGTTAGGCTTAAATACAATAGGCACGTTTAGCACAACTATTTATCAGAAAAAAGTTGTGCTTAATAAAAACGTAATTCACAATGACAAAAAAAAACGCTCTGTTATATCTCTTACATTATTTTACATATTGCATTTCTAAGACGTATTATATTGAACACTTACACCAAAAATGTGAGGCATATGAACCCAGTCTTTGTATTATTTATACACTGCCTGCAAAAAAGTGTAATTTCAAAAATGTATCACAAAACTACTTTCAATAATAAAAACAAAGTCTACAAAAATTGTGGTTTATCGACCTCGCATTGAGCACGTGTTATCAACTTGAATTTTAGTCTAAGTTCTAAAATAATCCCACCTCTTGACACCAGAGTTGTAAGAATTTCTATTTTAGGGTAGATTATTTTTTGATTATGCAAAAATTATGTAGAGTCCACCCCAATTAACGATAAAGAAAGCAATTTATTCAACGGGAACACATAAATAATACAGATTATGTTCATTGAAAGGCCTAACTCACAAACAAAATTCAGCATTAGTTTACTAATTTCCTCATGTATAGACGACAAGACTCCAAACTGGCTAACTGACACAGTTAATGTTCAATTGATAATCCAATAACGGGTTCATTAACTAACCAGCTCTTTGATTAATTCGCTATCTGGCTGGTTTACTGATCAATTCTCTGAATCATTCGTTTTATGTTTTATATATTTCTTCTAAATCTTACGAAAATTCGAGATGTCAAGTCAAATCTAGGCACTTTGGAACTTACTTCTAAGCGTAATCATTACGTTATGTCAAAATTCCTTTTAGTAAACAATACGTCTAAATTTAATTGTTAAAAATATGGCCTACAACAATATTTTATAAATCTGTGGTTTTTAGTGACAATGATAAAGTATTCAAGCATACATATATTATTAAACTGTTTTTAGTCACAAATAATGGTTGGTATTCAGGTATATATTAAAACGAGTTTGTAGTGACAAACAGTGGCGTTCTATTCAAATATACAACTGGAATAGTGACGAATTTCTGTTAATTGTAAGCCACCTGATTCTTGTTTACATTGTCTGTATGATAGGTATCTAAATTTTAAAAACATTCAAACTTTATCTATGTTCTACCCTTAAAACGGCATCGATTGTCACAATACAAAGATGCCACTTTGTTCCGTTAGGGCAAACTTTGAAATGACCCAAATGTTGTATAATTCGTTCTCTCTCACAAGACACGTGAGGAGTTGTTGTTGGATTTTTTTTTTTTTTTTTTTGGTCAAGTAGATTGTCGGTGGAAGAATAATGACCCGGATATACTTGTAAGGAGGTTATTGTCTACATTATTCCAATCTGCGGGTCTAGTGCTGTTTTTAACCTTCAATTTACCGACCTGTTTTATACTATTCACTACTAGTGAGGTCCTCATAATGCATCGTATTGAATAATGTGTTTTTGCCTATTACAACCCTCAGTGTGTAGAGTGCTGACCAAAATATTTTCATTTTCTAAGAGAAAAGACAGACATAGGAGACTCCCCACAGCAATTAAATGGATTACTTGCATGAAAGTATTTCTGTTCATTGTTTTTGCGATGTTTGTGTGTTATTAAGGACCTTTTGAGAAACACAATCGTGGACCCAAATGTTTGTGTTGGTTGTTTGGCGTTTCATGGCGCAATGTTACTAGAACTAGGCTATCTGCGCGAAACAACCGGTAAAAAAAAAAAAACTGCAAGTAAAATACACTAAAATG